CTGGAAGCACATCCTCCTCTGTCTCTTCCTCCTCATCTATTGCTCCATTGACAACATTGCCTTTTGCTTGCTTTTCATCGCTTTTCTTCACTTTCTTCTTCTTCACCACAGTGAATTTGCCTTGCTGGGCGTCCTTCACCATCTGCAGTTTCTTGAGCAGCTCTGGGTTGGACTTCACCACAGCCTGCTTCTCCACGTGGTCCTTGATGTAGTCCTTGGGCATGAGGCGGAAGCGAATGCTTTCGAAGACAACAGGCAGGGCCTTCTGCCGGCTCTCCTGGTCCTTGGTGCCCACCCACTTCATCACCACTTCAAAGACATTTTCCTCTTTCTCAATGTTGAGGGAGTCACTGGAGATGATGGCGATGAGCTCGTCGGGTGAGAGCTGGTAGAATTCCTCATCACGGGAGACCAGAGCAAAGCGATCGCAGATGAAATCTCGAGCTGCCACGGCCAGCCGGGCACAATCCAGCATCAAGCCCAGCCTGAAGATAGCCAAGCAGTTGCTGAGGCAAAGGCGCTTCTGCAAGAAAGACACGCAGACAGTGAAGATGGAGGGGATCTGGAACATGTTGGCCACGGAGAAGATGTCCTGAACATTCTGCTCTGTGATCTCCAGCTCAGAGGTGTAGATATAATGGAGGATTTTGCCCATGACATCTGGGTCGACATCTTCCAAGCTGACCTCCCTCTTCTTGCTCTCTTCCATGTCCGAGAGGAACATTGCCCTGAAGTAGGGGCTGCAAGCTGCCAGCACCAGCCGATGGCATGGAAACTCCTTTCCCTTGACTTTCAAGACACAGTCCAGAAACTTATTGTGGTCCAACATGTCTTTGAGTCCATCCTGGAGGAGGGTTTGCTGGTAGAGACGCAGTTCTTCCACTTGATCAAAAGGCAAACCCATGGTGGAGAGTAAGAACTCCTTTTTTTCCCTAAGCTTTCTTTTGTATCTATTTACGAATATATCTCTATGTGTGCCTTTGGTAAAGAAACTTTCTCAAAGCGGGGCTCGCAGGTCTCCCTTTCTTCCAGACCGTCAGCACACTGGGAATGTGAAACGCTCCCTACTATCGCAGCTGTCTGTGTACTTCAGCTTCCAGCGCAGGGCTTTATATATAGCCACCGTGTTACAAAGCTTAAGGAATCCATATTGGAGCATGTGTAAGCTGATCACCCCTTAATATGACACACTGGGCAAGGGGGAAGGGAGGGGACCGGGGGAACAGCTGTACTTCAGCCTCGATGCTTCAGGAACCGTCTGTCAGCTGATGAGTCACCACGTCCCCCGATGGAAGGATGTGTGCGACCCTATGACAGCTCCACCACACTTGGGACATGTCCTCCAGATGAATCAAACACCGTAATCTGCCTCCTGGGTCATGAATGGCAGGGATGAGACCTCTGACACTGCTAAACAGAACACTCTCTAAGTGCTAAATCTCTTGCGGTGGTAAAAACAGACCGTGAATCAAAGCTGGGAAGATGCAAGAAGGGAGAGTCCATGTGTTGCAGCATCCCTGAGCTGAGCTCGTCCCCAGGGCTGTGCAGGTTTGCCCTTTCTTCTCCTCTGCAGTCAGTTTTCAAGGGTCTGGGAGGGGATGGAGAATGAAACACAAGTATCTGAGGCGGAACTAAATTCAGAGACCCCAACAGTGAGCTTCATCTCACTGACTGAGGCACCTGAAAGCAGGTATTTACTTGTGAATTTGGGGTCTTCTGCAGAGGTCTACTGGGATTCAACCCCCAAGCTGAAGCCTGAAGACACAGTGGGACAACCTGACCAGCCTTCAGAAGGTGCTGCAGAAGAGCCAAGGGCTGTGTTGGGTCCTGCATGGACATCATAGAGCCTCACGGGGCCTCAGCTGGCTGCTCCAGGTCCAGCTCTTCCCACGGAGCTCTCAAGGAAATAAATTAGTTTGGGCAGACATAGGTGAGCAGAGCAACTATGATTATTTATAATTATGGTAAAACTTCTACAAGACTTTGTTTTATCTTCATTATTACGGACCCTTTGGGCTTTCTGACATTCAGAGATGGCACAGATTTAATTAACAAATTAATTGGATCTATGCAAAGCCATTAGCCACACTCTTCTTGGTGTATTTAAAGCCACATAACCCCTTGCTCTGGCATGGGTGTGTTGGTAACTATGCTTTGTGATGTGATGGTTATCTGAGTAATGAGGGAGGGGATGACGCTAGATGAAGCCGTACTGCTGAGGTTCCAGCAGCATCCCAGGCTGTAATACAGCAGGGCTATAATCATGTGCTGATTTCAGCTCACATCATCAGTTCAGGATCAGAGACACAATCAGAGGATGAGCGCTGACCTTTCAACTGGGTCATCCATCAGCAATATTCATTTGCTCCCAGATGTCTGGGCTGCACAGCCCATCCTCCCCTCTCCCTTCTTTCTGTGTGAGTGTTCCACTTCTCCAATGTGGTCACACTATTTTTTGGAATTATCCTTCTCTGCCTTTAATCTTCCTTGAGCCCAGACTTGCTTTCCTTCTCACCATGCTGCTCAGTGGGTGCTGCCATCCCAGATTTTCTTCCATGTTCCTCATATCACGAGATGCTGTCTCTTCTCACTGCTTATTGTAAGCTGACACCACTAAATGCAGTGAGATCTACCCGACATGGCAGCCCCTATAGAAAATACAAACTCAGATTTGTCTCTTGCCTGTGCGGGTGATTGGAAAGGGACACTGGCTCTGGCACAGGTAAATAACCCACCCTGGCACCCACTAAGTAGGAGATAAGTGATGGGCTCAGTATCATCAGCAACAACGGCTCAGTGAGAGCAGGAAACCATTGATCCCCCTTTGTGTTTAAGTCTCATCACTTTGGAGACTGATGGATTGATGGAAAACAGAGATATTTCCAAGCAAACAGGGCCCAAGGGCTGTAGTTTAGGCTCCCTATGGCCACAGAGAGTTGATTCACTGCACCCAAGTTGGACAGTTGCCTGAGATGAGAGGACTCCTCTAAGGTCCATCTTTCCCCATTCACTTAAATCATGAATTTATCCTGGATAACCTCAACTGTCCCCAGTGCCTCCTACCCCTGGCAAAGATGGATGCCATCCTTGTGAAGGCCTGTGGCAGCACTCACACCTGTGAACTGGGCAACTCTGAGTAGCTTTCAGCCAGCTGACCCTGGTCTAACAGAGCTACAATGAATGAGTGGTTTACCCAACGAACAATGCACTGAGTCAGTTGTCTCCGGGTGGGCAACAGTCACCCCACCAAGGATGAGAGTGAGTGGAAACGTATGTAAATCATCCTAGGGGGATGAAGTGTGGGAGGATCGCTCCCTCTCATACAGACTTTTAGAGCAAGAAAGATGAATGCAAGAATTATAGCTGTGCCAGGTTGAAAAAGGTGTCTGGTGTAGAACTACTCATCTGGATTTGTAGTTGTAGTAAAAAATTGCTTTTCTTGCTATCAGAGCCAGGTAATAACAAGGTTGGATTAGATCCTTTCCCCAGTGGCATATGCTGAAACTGAGGGTCTTCTACACAAGGCTGAGACGTGGCCATGATAGCAGTGCTTTGGTGCTCCTGACCCACAGGACCCCTTTTGGCTTCTAACAGCAGTGATAACCAAGGGCAGACCTTCAGGCAAAGGTGGGCAAACTTCTTCCACAAGCTGTTCTGTAACAAATTGCTCTACCAGTGTCTAAGATTAGCTTCTGAGAGCTCCATTAGATGTAGCTGCTGAGTAAATTTAGATCCTTAGTGAATGGGTTATTTTTTCTCCCGGACTCTCCAGGCTGGGAAGGCAGTGCAGAGTCATTGGCTTTGCCATGTGAGTCATCTTCCTCAACACTGGGAGATGGTGACTCTGTTTCCCTTCCTGTGCACCTAGGGGTGCCCAAAAAGACAGAGCCCTTGGACTCTGCAGCTCAGGGAGGATTCAGCTGTCTGCAGACACCTGCATGGGGGAGAAAAATTGGATTTTACACTAGGGGAAGGCACAACATATCATGGCTGAGGTGTTGGATCGACAGCTACCAAAGGTCCAGCAGCAAACCAGGTGTGCCTGGCAGCTGAAGGAGTTCTATGGATGTGATTGGAAGTGCAACAATACCTCACTGCACTTCCAACATTTGGGGCCAGGCTCCCAAAAAAAAAAAAAAAACCTACATGACTTCTACCTCCAAAGCTACACAGACAACAGTTTTACAGCAGTAGACTCGTAAAATTGTACCAGCATGGCAGTAGATTCAAAATACAAATCAAGCTATAGCAACACATCACTGGCTTTGATCTGATGAGTGGGTCTCTCTTAAAATCAGCAGTGTCCTTAGATGTCAAAATTGCAAATAGACTCCTCGATCTCTCAGTTCCAGGGAGATCAGCATGTTGCCCAGGGTTCACCGGAATCATAGCAACGCAACACTGATGAGTGGTAGGCACCATAGATGTCCAACAGTTTTTTACTACATAAATAAATGACATTTATCAGGGACTTTGTAAATCACTTTGGCAGAGCTGAAAGCTAACGAGGAACCATTCCTGCTTCATCCACAGAGAAGCCAGAACACAGCAGCACCAAGCATCTCAACCCATGTTGCAAAGTGGTCCACATTCTACCCTCACCACACACTGACACCATTCAGACATAAGGCCACTGAAAGCTGCTGTAAAGTGCAAGAGAGCTGGATCTATTTCCAGTGATAGACCCACCTCCTCCCCAAGGCACCATGGGGTTATTTATTCAATGCACTTCCCATATAGTGTCCCAAAGCCTACCTCTCCAAGGAGGCTATCAGGCACTTCCCCTCCACCACCCAGCCCCAAAGTGCTGCCCTTCATTTGGTGCTTTTCTCCTTTGGCTGTATGTGTGTGTGTGTGTGTCTCATGTAGCACAGGCTTAGGCTGTGTGCATGAAAGTCAGGCTGGGTGGCTGGAGATGGGCAAAAATTGGCTGCTGAGCCCTTGGCCATGGACAGGAATGTGAGCTTAAACCTTTATCCATGGCATGCAAAAAGACTGGTTTGAGTCCCGGGGCATGTGTCACAGTGAGGTGGTTGTGTTGGCCACACCAATTGCACAACCCACTGCAAAGGGCCCTTTGGGGCTGAGCTGGGTCTGGGCTGAGCTTTGTGAGCTGTGCATGCTGTTCCTTCCACATGCCCACCCTGCAGACAAGCAGTACGTGATGTGCTCTGGCTGAGAAGGAAACATGCCCCCTGCATTGCCACTGACTACACCTGAGGCTGGCACTAAATCATTTCTCAAGTTGTTTAGGACTGAAGGGATCTGTTTTGAGATACTAACAGACATCACTCTGCACTGCTGACAGCAATGGGAAGACAATTACTCTTCTCTTCTGCAGTTCCTGAACCTCTTTCCCTTTGCTATAAAAGACTGTTCTATTTATTTATTAGCCTCTTGGTAGGCGTCCATTGTGCTGAGCCATTTCACAGTCCTTAATGCACAGCCCCAGATGTTGAACCATTTACGGTATATGATGACCATTTCTTGTAGCAAAAGAAAAATGTGATGCTTTGGCTGGAAGCAACCTGGAGATAGGAGACCTGGGCTGCAGGTCCTGTGGGAGAGCCAGATGCTAGTGGATTGGGTGTTATGGGGAGCAGAGGGCGAAATCTCTAGGTCTGCACGGTGCCAAAGGGTCAGAAAAAGGATGGAGCCTTAAAGATGTGTCTCAGAAGCCTATCTCAGTGGTCCGCCACATGTGGGGAGTGTGCAAAATGCCCACAGTGCCACAGGAGATCCCTGCAGCAAAGGGGTGGCACGTGCCTTCCAGATGGCTTCTCTGTAGGTGAGCTACAGCAGTCTGATTGCCAGGAGTGCTTGGAGAGCCCCTGACAGCAGCTGGCCTGGCAGAGGCAGTCAAAAAGGAGTCCAGGCTCTGGGGCAAGCCCACTGATATCTTCATCTACTCTGCCTTGGGTTTGTCACTCTTCTCCTCTTCCATGGCCAGGATGCGTTCACGCTCTTTGATCAGCTGCACTCCACAGTATGTGATGAACCAGATGGACAAGGTGCTGACAGGGAAACCTGGAAGGTGGAGGGAGACATGGTCACCTTGGTGTGCTGCTTACCTAATGGGGCCAGCTCTTCTCTGGCACCTCTGCCTCTCAGGTGGGCATGGAAGGTCCCCAGGTTCGTGGCTAAAGTTTTTTTCTTTGTGGACCCAAACCAACAGCTTCACAGAGAGAGGAGAGAAATCCCCAGGGGTGGATTTTAGATGAAGAAGTGCCTAAACCCATGAAGGCAGCCTGGATCACAGTTAATGTTATGGGAACATGCTGGAGTTTTGCTTTGAGCTCTCGCTGACCCCCAGATCTGCTTTGCCTGTTGAGTTCAGACTCAGCAGTTGGCTTTGTGCCCATGTAACCTGCCATCACTCATCCTTGTTCAGCACTGCAACCTTCTGGAATCTTTGGACCCTGCTGACACTGAGGGTTTACCTCAGTTTAGTTGCATCCCTATGTGGGAACACGTTTTTGTCACTTTGATAAGTAACAAGAGCTGGGAGGATGCCTTCAACTAAGGAAGGGCCAGTGGGCGTTTGTAACAAGTTGGGTATCCACAGCAGATAGGAGGCACAGGCTTTGTACCTGCTAAAAGAGGACCTCTGCAATGAATAATGCAACCCACAAAAGACAGCTAACTCAGCGGGCAGGCACTTCTGGCACATATAGCCCAGCACGTCACATTATCCATTTCCTAAGCCAGACCTGTCCCAAAGAGGGCTGGAGGACATGGATTCCAGGTGGCTATTTATACCATGAGTTGCTTGAGAAGACTCCAAAATAGTGCCAGTGTCTGCCAACAAGAAAATGTAGATAATTCTGTTCACAAGGAGCCTAGCATAAGGATTTGTACGTCTCACCTTCAGATTGGTGAAGGAAGAACTACTAAAGAAAAGGGAAATAATGAAATAGGACAAGTAAATCCTTTTCTCCAGCAAAGGGACCATTTTGCACCCAGGGCCTCAGCCCAACTGGGAGAGGTCCCCAACTGCAACCTCTGTATTGCAGCAAGTCACAGTGTTAGGCTGTACGGGGAAATGCGCAAACACATCTGGAAGGCAGCTCACACCTCAAAGAACTGGCATGAATCGTAGAATCATTAAGGTTGAAAAGACCAATAAGGTCATCTAGTCCAGCCATTAACCCAGATGGGAGCTAAGGAATCCAAATTTTTACATCTTTCACAAGAATGGATGTGGTTGGGAGCAGACACGTAACATGGCATCGGCCAGGCTGCCTTGCACACAGGAGGACTTGGCAGCCCCACACCCCGTATCTGCCCACCAGGACAGGGATTGCTCAGTGGGGAAGGCCACTGGCACCTTACCTGTCACGAGGAGTCTCTTGGTGACCAGCAGTGCAAACTCCAGACTGTTGAGGGCTAAGATGTTGTAGAGGACGATGGCCCAGAAATTTGCTGCCCCAAAAACAGCCCTAATCCGCCGAGATGTGGCTGCTGACATTTTGGCCTATGTGGGAGAGAAGAACAAAGTGAGGGAAAATGGGGCTTCAAGGAGATGCTGTTAGTCCGACAGCAGCCAAAATCCATCAGGATGGTACACGTGGTTTCATGCTAATTGTGATGGCTGGGCACTCTTCTCTTCATCTGCTGCTATTCCTCAAGGCAGATGAATGCTGCTGTTTGCTGGGATTATTATTAGCCCTACATCCCAGTCTCTCTCAACCCCAGGAGCAGAGAAGTGGCTTACAGCAATCTTCTAAGAGCATGATGCATCCCCAGACCACTTAGTGGTGAGAGTTGCAGTGCTGCAGGGAAAAAGATTTCGCTGCCTGAGGGTGCCTTAATCTGATTGGAAGTAAAAAGAGCATAGCAAACTGGAGGATTGCTCTCCCATGTTTTTGTTTAAAAGGAGTCTTTATTGACTCCATGTAGGACCTCAGGCTTTGGGCTGGGCAAAACAAATAAATAACAGAATTGTTTTCAGAATGGAGTTTTTTCCAACTATGTCTCTGAGGCATCTTGGTCCCAGACAAAGATGGGGCACTAAGCTTTGGAGTGGTTGGAAAACAATTTATTCTAAATATTTGCTTTTATCAGAAATCAGATCAAAAGCCCTCAGAATGCCAAAGCGTTTCGCAGAAGAAGAAAAGCAAATTATTTCTGTATGGAAATGTATAAGCAATTCCCTATGGACAGACCTCTGGAATCCATTTGTGCTATTTTAGCGCCTCGATGGAGCTGCAGTCCTGGTGCTCTTGGACTTCTTTTCTCTTTGAAAGCTCCATCTTCTGCCTAAATTTCCTATGAAGCATCATAGGGGTGAGTGGGGATTTGCTCCAGGTGAGTGACACCATGCAGGAAACTAATGAGCACCAGGGCTGTCCTCTTGCATAGTTGTGCTGGTATCACAGCATCAAAGAATAGCTTATTTTGGAAGGGATCTTAAAGATCACTGAGCTCCCACCCTCTGCCATGGTGCCCCCCACCAGATCATGCTGCTCAAAGCCCCATCCAACCTGGGCTTGAGAACATCCAGGGATGGGGCATCCACAGCTCTCTGGGCAGTACCTGAACATAATGCTGATAGTCTGTAGGAAAGTACTGTAGGAAGCCTGGACATGGAGCTGCATGACATCACTGGGGATGTTGCTCTTCAGTCTCAGCTGAATGCATTTCATTTGTCTAAAGAAATGTGAGCTCCCTGCAGTCATAGTTGTTTCCAGGAGCAGAGTTTGTCCCCAAGCCCACCGTTCTCCCCCCACCTGCTCACAACGCATCTGCTCACCTCCAGTTTGGAGAGGGGCTCCCACTGGAAGAATTTCTGCACCCAGAGCTCAAAGTTGAGGCCAAAGCAATTGAAGACAGACCAGATGTAAACAATCTCACAGGGTCCCAACCACAGAGTGGTGACAGCAAAGGTGGCAATGGTGGCCATGAGCTCCTTTATGACGTTGTCGTGGTTCTCTCCGATGTGGTCGTACACGTACCTAATGGTCAATGAAAGTGATTGGTGCTCCCCATAGTCAAGGAAAACCCCTTCTCCCACGTTTACCCAAAACATGCTTCTCACAAACACATCAATCTGGAGTGCACCAGTGAGAAAGGGAGGATATTTTGGCTGACATGTTCTAGCAACAAATTGATTGTTCCTGCAGTCCAGCTAACTCATGGTTCATGTTCTTTATAAAACTAGAACTTCTTCAGGAAATAATACCACCCTTTCTCTCTCCTGCAGGTAAAAGGTTGATAAGACATAGGGATCAGTAGAACTGCAGACTGTCCCAGACTTTCTGGGACATGGCATTTCAGCACAATGGAGATTGGGCCACCCTTCTTATCGAGGAGATGCAAGACCTGAGTTCAATTCCCTTTTCTTCCTAACAGAAGATGAACCTGACTCTCCGTCCTTTGAGGGAACAGTAAACTCATTGGACTGAGAGGTTTTTCTGGGAGAGAAGACCTGGGTGGGCAGTTGTACTTTGTTTTGATTAGTTCAATGGTCTTTGGGATAAACAGACAAAATCTGATTGCGTGAGATTCACCCAGAAGTGAGGACTTCTTATCTTTGGGATGAACAGTATATAACACATCAGTACTGCATGATGAAAGAGAAGACCCCAAAATAGACAAGAGATAGTTGAGTAGACACTTACTTGCACAGCCAGTCGTTGATCCCTCTGTCAAAATGCCTACAATACAGATGGCAAATAGCACATTAGAACACATGGGCTTATGAACACCTTTCCAACCATAGGAGGTGCCTGGTCCCCCAACAGGGTTTACTTTGAACCTCATTCACAGTAGTTCTCCACACTCCTTCCTAGAATAAGTCCTGCTACTGTGTGATCCCGCTAACCTCCCTCCTTACCATTGTTCTCTGCCCAAGAATATTTCTTTGGGCTATGGTCAAGTCTAGTCTATAATTTCAGTACAGTCAACCTATTGGCCAGCTGCTCAGAAGCACAGCTCAGACCTCCTCATCTCCATGCATATTGTTTTAGGGTCAAACATGCTGCCTTCCGTCAGCAACATACATGAATACTCACGTTTCTGCAAAGACGTAGAGCATGGTGATGCATTTTGGGGGCTGGGGTGGGTCCAAGTGGTCCAGTCTAGCAATGGTGTTGATGACCCCAAACATGACAGCAGCTTTGACCCAGTCGTATACCAAATTGGAGTAGGCCAAGCCAGCTGGAGCAAAAACAGGAGTCAAAAGGATGAAGAGGAGGGGCTTTTTCTGAGGGTCACAGTGCCACCTGAGCTCCCAGTCACACCTCATCTCCCACTGTGGATGAGGCAGATCTTGCTGACGTGGTCAGCCTGCACAGCTCCATCTGGAGTAACATATATGCTTAATCAGGCCTACCAGGTCACTTAGGAGACCCTAAATCAACGCTGGAGCCATCGTAGCTGCATTAGGATTTCCTCCTGGCCTCCAGGTGCCACTCTATATGACATGGGGCTGCTCTAGGCTAGTGTGGGTGTCACATATCCTGTGGCATCTCAAATTCTGCCATTGGACATTCACTTGGGAGACTGAAATCTTCTACCCAGCTGCCAGCTGAATGCCAGTGTGCTACCACTACTCATCCTGGGAGTTTGGCTTCTGGAAGACCCTGGTTCAGACCTGCTCATAGCATAGCCAACTTTAAATAGAGATCAGGTTTCCTCAGACCTTGTCTCCCTTTTAGTCCATACAATGGGAATGACAGGGAGCTCAGTGGAAAGAAAGACTCTACTCAAATATATCCAACGTAGGCACTGCTGAGGCTTCCCAATGGAGTAGGATGGAGATCTGAATCACTCACCACTGCCTTGAAGCTAAGCACAAAGGTGAGCACGTCCCCATGACCACTCACCCAAGGCCCAGTCCGAGAGGCGGTTCACGAACTTCAGGTCAGAGGGGAGGGTGAGGATGTAGAAGAAGTGGAAGAAGATGTCCACAGCGATGATGGCCCCCACATGGAGGAGGGCATGGACCCGAATATTCCTCATCTCATCATCCTTGCGGCGCAGATCTCGGGTGCTCACCTGCCAGGATGGCAAAGCAGGAAGGGCTGAGCTGGGAGGCAAGGTGGGAAGCAGGACTGGTGAAATGTTCAGGGTCCAAACAGGGACTCAACTTAGGAATTAAGGGACTCCTTTAGGAATCACACCATGACATACACTGTCCAAATCCCCACTGCTTAAAGAAGACCCAAGAGACATATCCACAAGAAGAGGAAATGTCCTCAATGGGGTGAACATCATAACAGCCAATGAGACGGAGTTTAGGATCTCTCCTTGGGGACATTCTCAAGAAATCAATTTAGCTTAAGGCTGACCTTTGCATAGGTCACTAAGTGTGAGTGTTAGATGGCCTTTTTGCAGTGGAAATCTAGCACTAAGGCATAAGCCTTTACTCAACTTTCTTACGCAGTGGCTGCAGGTTTGCTGTTCACAATGAGCTGTTGAGGCACAGCTCAGACAGGATAGAGTGAGGCTTTATTTCAGGCACCTAAGACAGTTTCATTGCTTTATCTGACTATAAAGCAGCCTTCTTTGTCATCAGCTGCTCTACTTCCCCATGCACCCCAAGAGTCTCCTTTTTGATGTCCCCCTATATGTGCTACAGCAATTTCTTTGGGTAGTTTTTTCCAAAACTTGCCTAATCAGTTCTTCATGGGCCAATGGGCTGCTGTATTTAATGTATCAGGTTCTTCCTCTGATAGTTTGAGATACCATTTCCTTGTCTTCTGTGCCTACACTTCTATCCATAATCTACTGTATCCGATTAAACCTAAACATTTTCACAACTTCCTTGTTCTGGGCTCAAAGCCATCCCATCTACAGGATGCCACAGCTTGTAAGAACAGGCATCCAGCAGGGCTGGTCCCAGCCAGGAGCCCTGCCCAAAACAGGTGGGCATTTGGGCTGGGCTCATCTGGAAGGAGGAGGAGGAGGAGGAAGAGGAGCAGGAGCAGGAGGATGGTTGATGGGCTCTGGAGCTTCTGCTGTAGATATCTGTTGTAAGTGAGAGGGACAGATGCACAAGGGGCATTTGGGAGCTCTCAGTGGGGCTTTCCTCTCTGCAGCATCCTGTTCAGATAATGGCCTCTGGGAGCTGCCATTTCTCTGGATGTTGTAATACAGAAATCATCAGAGAGAGCAGTTGAGATTACACTGGGCAGACTGATGGCCTCGCTTCCCTTCATCGCTGTAAGAATTGCTGCTGTATTTAAAATCCTCTTATGTTTATGACTTTCCCTTTATTCCCAGTGGGAGGTGGGAGTTCTCTCAAAGCAATCTGCACGCTGCCGCACCAGCCCCGCCATCAGAACCAGATGATTCCTGAGAATTAAAGCCTCTGCCAGATTTTCTCCTGTCTGTTGTATGCCAAGCGCTTTAAGGACACAAAGAGGCCGCTGAGATGGAGAAGAAAGCAGGAGAGGACATGGGGACTGGGTCTCTGTCCCCAGCACTTCCAGCCCCACAGAAGTGAGTTTGTTTCCCTCCTCTCAGTAAGACAGCCTGAGAAGGTCTGGCCAAGCCATGGTTGAATATTAGGAACAATTTCTTCTCTGAAAGAGTGGCGATGCAGTGGCACAGCTGCCCAGGGAGGTGGTGGAGTCAACATTGCTGAAGGTGTTGAAGAACCGCAGAGATGTGGCACTGAGAGATGTGATCAGTGGGCTGGGGTTGGACTTCAGGATATCAGAGGTCTTTTTCAACCTGAATGATTCTGTGATTCCACAGAATCCCACTACCCAAGGGGGATGCAGGGTGAAAGGGACACAGCACCATTAGGAGCCAAAGAGACAGATCCTAACGAGGCCATGCACCCCATCTGGGGAAAGGACTCAATCTGTCTGCCTTTATAATTACTACTGGGCAATTAGGAACTAGCTCTACAACTAGCTGCAGGGCAAGCAGTGCAGGGTGGCACCTAGCCAGGAGGTGGCAGTGGTGTCCAGGCCAAGGCAGGTCCCCTGTCTGTGGGGTGGGAAAGGGGTTGGACTCCCTCACTGTGCCTTTGGGGACAGGGTTTTATGCAGCAGAGGAAGGGATTGCTCATTAAGTGGCTATAAACATCCCTATTTGGGATTATGTGGAAGGAACACGAAACAAAGACCCACTCACATCACCTGTATGGTGATGGGAGCTCGTGTCTTGCAGGCACCACAAGTCCAGCATCCTGATTTTTTGACACCTGACAGCATCATTAGGAGAAACACAGGAACACAGCCTGGGCTGTGTTCTCTTCTGAATTCATGAAGGAATGTCTGAAATGCTCCTGCATCCAGATGTCAGAACCCCAAAATTATTAAAAGTGTTCGCTAAAAGGAAGCAGTGGTGTGGATAGTAATCATTAGCTGGGCTTTCTGGCACAACAGCAAGCCATACCAGCTTACTTGGGTGACCAAGGCTGATCACTGGTGTCAATGGATCCCAGGAGTGGACAAGTAGTTGCTCAGTCTTTGAATGTGAAAGAACACAGATGAGGCAGCCCAGGGGTCTGCTGTTTGGAGTCTGCCCTTCACAAAGCCCACAAAGTATATGAGATGTCCAAGTTTGTTCGTCTGGATCAGAGGAAGCATCAGGACAGAGGCTGCCAAAACACAGCAGCACAAGTGCCCAACAAGCAAGGGAGCGAGATGAGCCCTTCTGCCCTCAATCCCAACATGGCACTTTCACCATGACGATGTCCTTCCTGCATTGGTGAGGAGAAATGGCCAAAAACCCAAAAGAGAAGGTGGAAAACCCACCAGTTTTTGCCCCTCACCAAAAAACACAGCCCTGTTGTGCAGCCTGGTCTGTGTTCATGGACTGCACAACCTCTACAAGTGCTTACGCCTTCGCTGTGGCCAACAGTGGGGATTTGTAGCCCTTCAGTTCATGCAGATCAACTCAGGGAGGCCATAGGGACACTCACCTGGGTGTGAAACTGGTCAAACGTCATGACAGGCCCGAAGAAGAAGAAAGGAAGGTAGAAGTTGTACTTGAGGAGGTCAAAGATGGAGAAGATCCCCTCCTTCCTCTCGGAGCTCTCAAGTGCGAAGCTCATGCAGCGCATGATGGTGAAGCCACTTCCTCCATAGAAAAGGACATCTTGAAGATCAAAAGCTCCTGTTACAAACCCGCTCTGGGTGAGAAATGGACAGTTACCACCAGGCACGTGGCATCACTTCGGTTCTCCCTCATCTTGCAGAAGACATCCACACTTGGGGTGGTTGGCAAAGCCCCTAATTATGCTCTGCCAATTATCCTTGCAGCTAATGCTGTTGGAAGGATCAAGCCAGGGCTCCACTTTCATTCTGGTTCCTACATCCCAGAGGAGTGGGAGGTCCTCTTAGCTAACACAGCACACAGCCACTTGGTGAAGATGTGGTTGTGATCTGCAATGGGAATGTCACTTTGTCCTGGGGCAGAGGGACACAGCCTCCTCCTCCCCAGAGGGAGGAGGGAAGCGGTGGAAGCCCAGTGGAGAGGCAGGAGCACATTTCAGGAAGTGATGATGGGCAGGGATTGGCAGTAGTGCCCTTCAGAGGGACTGCATGGCTTTATAAGGTTCTCCCTGGGCTTCTCCCCACCCACCAGTGAGAGAAAGTCTTTAACTGTACAGGTAGGCACCCATCCCAGTGCTGTATGGCAGGTGGGGAAACTGAGGCACGGGGGAAGAAAATTCCTTGCTTGGTGTCATCTGACAAACTGCTGCCTAAGCAGCAAGGAGGAAACCACCAGTATGTGACACAACCCCCAAGGGACTGTTCCTGAGCTCAGTGCCACAATGCTCCCCTGCTCTCAAACCCTAAGGAGCTGCCACAGGGCCAGGAAAAGGATTCAGGGTCTGGGGACACCCAAGGAAGTAAACCCAAGGAGAGGGATTGGAGGCAGAGGGGAGGCTCAGGATGGCACCTACCTGCCAGGAGCTGAAGGGCTCCAGCTTGATGGAGGCGAGGCAGCAGAGCCCAGCCACATAGCAGAGCCACTTCTGCTTGGCTAGTGCCACGGAGTAGAGAATGAGGCAGTGGGAAAGGATGATCATCAGGTAGGTGAGCCCCATGCTGCCCAGCACAGCCAGCATCCCATACAGCATGTATATCACGGCCCGGTGCTGCAAGGGGAAACCATCAGTGGGGTGGCAGCCCTCAGCCCTTCCTCCTCCCCACCGTCCTGCAGCATCCCATCCATGACCACCCAAGAGATGCCAGGTAAACCCACTGCTTTTAACCCAGCTTTTAACTCACCTGTGGCACCGTCATGGAGCACACCTTGGCAAAGAGGACGTGTCCTGAGAGGGTGAAGATGATGACGTTCCTGAAGGAGGTGAACCACATCACCCACTCGAAGTCAGCCACATCCTGCGGGAGCAGCACTGGCTGCTTAATGGTCCCCAGCCTCCATGTCCCCACCCCACTGCCCGTTTCAAGAGGAAAGCACATGTATTTCAGAGCTCTTTCTTCCCAATTTCCACTCCAGGGCTGCCAAACACTTTAGCTTTGTCATGAAACCCGGGGAGAGACGTGTCCTAGTGCACACAAATCAGAGCATCCTCTGTGCTGCAGGGCTACCATTTCCCTGACAACATCCACTGCTTTCTTAAGGGAGAAAATACACAACGACTTTTCAAAAGTGCCCATAGCAGAACAAGAACTCTGCTTCCTCCTCTTACCATTTTCCTGCCAAAGTAGTGCCAGCCTGGCTTGATGCCATCCCGAAAGGCTTTTCTGTTCATGCTGTCTGCAGAAGAACAAGAGTTATCATAGAATCATAGAATGGCCTGGGTTGAAAAGGCATTAATGATCATCCACTTTCAACCCCCCTGCCACAAGCAGGGTCACCAATAACTAGACCAGGCTGCAAAGTTCTGGGGAGAAGGGTTCAGGTTGGATAACAGGAACAATTTATTCCCTGTAGGAGTGATGCTGCAGTGGCACAGGCTGCCCAGGGGCGTGATGGGGTCAGTTCCAGAGCTGTGGAGATGTGGCTGAGGGACATAGTGGGCATGGTAGGGTGGGGTGGGATTGGGGATCTTAGTGGTCTTTCCAACCATAGTGATTCTATGATAAAAGCAAAGAGGGAGCTACGTTTTGGCAAGGCAAGAAACCTTCCTCACCACGAGGATGAGTCATGAGGGCTCAAAAACCCCCAGCCCCATCCTGAAAGTTCCCATTTCTAATGGAAAACTAGGAGTCAAGAATGTCAACCATTCCTGCATGAGTCCCCACTTGGAGGGGTGCATTTTTCAGGTGTTTCTTTCTACTTCCAGGCAAAAGAACCATTGGGAAGTGATGCCGTGTGGGCAGGCTGGTGGCATGCTCAGGGCAATGGCTGGAGAGCCATGGGAATGGGGCCATGTGGGCAACCAGGCTGAAAGCAGTGGGTATTAAATCCCTTCGGATCCACTCTAAAGGACTCCCAAGTTATTATCCGCCAAAAAAATTAAAGCTGTGATGTTGATAAGGACGGAGAGGAGGGACACAATGGGGGGACATTTACCTCTGGATGCCTCAAAGATACCGCTGCCACTGTACAGCACAGCACAGGTCACAACGAGAGCATAGAAGCCCAGCTCGTGGCTGGGCAGCATTGTCTTAACCCCCATAGCTGTGGGTTACTTGTGGGTGTAGGGGATCCAGACCTGGAAAAGGGGAGGGAATAAAACCCAAGGTAAGAGCTCAGCCAACCCACAGATGCCCTAAGTTACTGCTGGTCCTCCGTCACCACGCTTGGTGGGCTCCTGTGTAGGCTGGTAGAAGAGGAGCAAACAGCATCAGCTGAACACTGGGGGAGCCCCAAATCCACCCAGGATACAGGATTTGGGCTCATACCCATTCCAACATCTGGATGGGGTTCTTCCTGCATCACCCCTCACTCCTTGGTGGGATGCAGGTCAAGCCCAAAGGTGCAGTGCTGGAGGGGATGCAGAGGAATTCCCCCATTCCCTTTCTGCACCCACTGCCTGCTTACTGCAGGTGTTTTGCTTTGCCCTGAGCTCTCAGCATGTGCCCGTGTGCTAGGGGGTGTTCCCAAAGCCCTGGGCTAATTACTCCTGCCAACACTAATTAACCCCAGAACTGCAACACCTTCCCATCCCAACCTCCCATCACCTCCGCGGGTCGTCAGCTGCCCAAATCCTTTTGGGGTTGGGAGGAAGAGCAGCGGGGCTGGGGTCCGGGGGGGATCCTGCCCTGTCAGCTCGGTGCCACCTCACCCCGTGGTGGCAGTGCTCTACAGCCCTGCCAGCTTCCCCCTACCAGCAGAGCTCCGCGTTCGGACGGCAATTAAAAGCGGCCCCACATCTGCAGCACAAAGCTGCGGGGTGGATTTGGGGTCAGCGGGCATTGCGGAGCTGGGCGGGGGGGGGGCACGCTGCCATCGCTCTGCAGTCCCTGTGCGGCGGGAGGGCACCGGGGGATGCGGCTTTAAAGAGCTTTTATCCCTTTTCCATGTTTCTCAAGGCTTTTATTTGCTGGTTATTTGTTTGCATTAAAGCGGGGGGAGGAGGGGGCAAGAATAGTTTTAGCTGCCAAGCTCAGCATTTCCCCTTCAGGGTTTGCCCCCCCCCCCCC